GTTAGATTGTTATTGTAACTTATAATAATAGGGGACCCTTCCCCAGTGGCTGAGCAACTGTACTAAAATAATATTATCACTCACTTTTTTTAAACATTCCCCCCCCCCCTCTTGAAGTATAATAGTAGGTATTACAGCGTATAATAATGTAATATACACAATTATTATAACAAAATACCTATAAATTACCAACCTAAAAAATCAATCAATTTTGTTTAAAAATACTATTATTATATTAAATGAAAGTCTAATATACATAGAGTGGTTCTCTTTTCTTTCTAAATTAAAGGGATGGACAATTAAATATTTGTAGGTACAAAAAACCGCTATAAATTAACGTTATACCTATTGAAAAGTACGTAATCAAAATTAAATTTTTTTTTATATACCGCGATAAATCGATAGTTAAATCATTCCAATAAACGCGTGCTAGGTAATGGCTGTAGATAATATGAGTATAATAATGTAGGTAACCTTGATGAATATTCGCTCGTACGCAATTGGCACATATTTGCACACGTCACGATTTATACCGGTTCTATATGACAAAACAGTGAAAGCAAAGAAAAAAGTAGAAACAAAAATAAAATGAAAATAAAAAAATACGGACATACTTCACACGACGAGCCGCTGTTGTAGGGGACAAGTTGGGAAGATAGGGAAGATATAAAGAGGAATTTAATGTATATCTGTGCGCAGTGATTAAATTTCGCAAACGAAAAACGATTCTGAACGGGATTCGGTTAAATATGTTTAAAAGGCCGTAATATTTACGAATTTCGTCAAAATTTGACATAAATCAAAATCCATATATAAAACAAAATATATTACATTAAACTCAACTTTTTCTAGTTGACCACTTTAAGTACAACTTATAATGAACCACACGTTGATTTTAAAAATAAGCGTTACATTTTAAAATCTAAACAAAATATCTGGTAGAAAGGTTGTTCATAGAAAAAGAAGACTGTAATATTTACGATTTTCAATCGCATCTTTAGAATATTGGTTGGAAATTTCAATTAGGAATGGACGTAGAATATTCGTCATCTTTTTATTTTATAAGTGTACGGACATTGGAGACCAATACAAATATGTTCAGTTTTAATTTCCTTCCATCCGCTATGTGCGTCGTTTAACCTTATTCAGTTCATCAGAAAATAATAAACATTGAACAGTCGACCAAATACGTGTTACTATGTTTAGTGATATATTATTTACAATCAGAAATAGCGGAATATAAAATAATATAATAATATTTGTTATTGGTTGACCGTCTCTGCGAGTGTTTCGATGTTAATATGTGTCCCAACCAAAATTATACGACCATGATGTGTTTTTTTTTTTTTTTCTAATGATAGGAATATTCATGAATATATTATCATAGCTGCCTCGGAAGTGCTGAGAACGAGTTTTTTTTTTTTTTTGTCGTAAACTATACGCATTATTTTTACATAGCCGTTTTTCACAGGCATTCTATACGACAGCAATACATTAACATAATAACATCGTATAAATTAAATTTTTATATTATCTATTCGTACATCCGTATAGGCACGGGTAATGCATTATTATAGGCTGCTCGGAGAATAAAAATAAAAAAACAAAATGAAAAATCACTGCACCATCCGTGTTCCGAAATGCTTTATTATGTTAATGCGTTTGTCGCTATTTATTTCAACATCGCTTTGTGGTCATCGACGCCCGTATATTATACATAAGTGCGGTGCATACACATGCCACTGACTAGGAGACCTGTTGCTTATCGCGATCGGTTGACCGGACGATCGAGAATACCTAAACGTATACCATAATAATAATAATAATAATAATAGATGTCCCGCACGGTATTACGCGTGCACAATATTGTACGAAAACGAAAAACCAATAAAAACGTATGTCCGTGTTCCCCAATAAGAACGCATCAATACATAGACAAACAATAAACATTATTAAAAATACAAATACAAATTTGAAAATAGGTCCAGTAGCTTTCGTGATTTTTGCGAAAGTTTTCTCTTGATATTATAATAATAAGATAAGATATTAGGACGAAACAAAATAATACCATAATTATTACAGCTGTTAGTTAAATGCACTAAAAAGGCTTAAAAAACAAAAAATTCAAATGTTCTAAAAGTTATCTAGAAATGCGATTTTAATTTCAAGAGTGCATCTCTTAGAGTCTAAAATTATAGTATTTTGAAAAACGAAAATAATATTATGATAACAGGTATCTAACATGTCTAATTGAATAAATCAACCATCCTATTATAAACTATACTTTCCATTATTCTCAAACATAAAATAATAAAAGTAATTTTAAAAAATTGATACTGCTCACTAAGAAAAAATTGATACTGCTCACTAAGACAAAATGTATTATTTTCAATTTTTTTTTTTTTTTTTTTTTCAATTT